TCAATCAATTTCACATGACAATTTTTTAAGAAATACTTCGCACGAAAGAAAAATCAAAGAAAAAATTGAAAAAAACTTCATTATTTTATTTTACAATTAAACAGAAATTTTCACAGTTTCACTAATTTGTCGTTTATAATGATTATAATTATTTTATTTTGTAAGATAAATTACAAAAAAAAAAATATTACAATAAAAATTAATATTTAAGCGCTCTCAGTAAATGATTTTTGATTCTTTATCCAAAAAATAAATAGATCACTTTTTAATAACAATAACCCGCTCCTTGATAACTCCAATGCAATATGCTTATTCATAATTACTATCATTTAAATATGTATAATCTATCCATAATGAAAAAAAGTAATAATTAGAAAACTACTAGAAATCTAAAAATAGAACAATATAGAACTATAAATTTAAGGAATAGCTTATAGTAAACTTTCAAAAAATCTATCTTACCATTATATTATTGTATAGGTGAATTTGTAGATAAAGAAGCCAGACTGTTTGGTTTTAAGTTTGGTAAGAAAATAACGCAAACTGACTGAGTTAGCGTAAGTAATGAGCAACTTTAAGGTATAATGAGCAACTTGCAACTGAACTCTTGATAAGTAAAACTTTTTGAAAATAAAGCATATACTAAAAAAACTAATTAAACCAGGTATAACAACTCTTTAAAAATACGGAAATAAAAAATTTAAACAATAATAATATGTTTCTTTAGTGGCTTGGCTTTGTCACACTTTTTTTTAATCGATAAAATTGACTTGGGTCATGATCGACATTATGTTACATATGTGTAACCATATGATCAAAAGACCCTACCCTTAAATTACTAATTAAACTTTAAAAACAATTTGTATGATTTAAATTTTTCTGCTTTTTAATTTTCGCATTTCTATATTTAACCAATTAAAATTCAGCTGATCGCTGATCATATGTATTAATAACACATTATTGTTTATTTTTTGTTTATTTTATCAAAAATATTCTTTTCTCTTCTTTTTTTTAGAAAAAAAAAAGACAATAAAAATGAATACCAAAACTATTTTAACATATAATAATAAAAATTAAATAAAAAACTTATTTTAATAATATACAATATATATATTTGTACCAAACTACTAATTATACAAAAAGTGATATACACGTATATCAATTACTTTCACTAATATCTCTCTGGAATTGTAATGGTAAATTTTAACAATATTAATTAACAACTATATGTACACCTTTTTATATATGCTTTTATTTTTATATTAATATTATATGTTAACATATATTAATTATATTTTTTTTTTACTTTTATGTATTTTATTTAATTTTTTTAATATATTACTAAAATTACTACTATCGTTTTATTACTTTTTTATATCTAACTAATATATTAATAATATTACTAACTTTTTATTATTTCTTTTTTATATTTAAAATAATGATAATATTACTAATTAAATTTCTTTTTTTTTACTAACCTTTTATTATTCCTTTTTTATATTTAAAATAATGATAATATTACTAATTAAATTTCTTTTTTTTTACTAATCTTTTATTATTCCTTTTTTATATTTAAAATAATGATAATATTACTAATTAAATTTCTTTTTTTTTGTTTATATTTTGCTAATATTATTTTTTTTACAAATAGTATATTATTTTAGGCAATTTCTATTTGTATACGGGATGTTTAAACACAGGTCATATTAGTAGATTAAAAACGGCATTCAAAACCTCCTTTAATGCCTTAAGTAAACTTGCAAAGCAGGTGAAAATACATATATTTATCTGTAATATAATAAGAATAAAACGTAAAAGAGTATAATGTCGGTAGCATTCAATTTCAAATTAAAAAACAAAAAATTAGTCTATTAAAAATTATATTTATATGACCTGTGTACAAACACCCCATGTAAACTTAGAAATTTTCATTATTTTATACTAGTTTTTATTTATATTATTTATAAAAAATATTTATATATTTAATATTATTTAATAAAAATTTTATTGATTATAAATGCATTTTAAATTCTGTTTGCAAATATAAAATATACGATTTAATTGAATAATATATACTATTTATAAGTACAAAATATGCAGTTTAAACTGGAAAAAAGTACTGTTTATCAGTATAAAATATACGGTTTATCCTAGAAAAGTATACTGTTCACAATATAAAATATAAAACAATATACTGTTTATTAGTATAAAATATACGGGTTTTCTACTATTTACAAGTATAAAATATACGGGTGAAACTGGAAAAATATACTGTATACAAACCGTATATATGATACGGTGTGCAGAATACTAAATATATACAGTATGTGAAAATACTGTAATTATACAGTAATAATACTATAAATATACTATTCACAAAATACGAAAATACAGTATACTAACTGTATGTATATTTTTTATAGAGTATGTGAGTATATTAAAACTGTAGAAAAAATGTACTTACGTGAGTCTTATACACTGTGGTAAAAAATATGAATATTCTTTTTTTTCTACAAGTAAAAAATAATTTATACAGTTTATTTCATTACAGCATTTAAATAGTAAATATTCATATGACTAGGAAACGGAAACTATCATAAGTCAGCAAAAAAAAAGGCATTTAAACAATTTGCATATATAAATAAATGTTGATCCTATTCTATATGTGCTAACACGTGATCATTTTACAATTGTGTTACATTAAAAAGTGTACGCAAATTGTTAATTAAATTTGAATGCAAAAAAAGATTATAAATAAACCTTTATCTTGTTTATCTAATATATCACAAATTTATTTAATCTGATATAGCACGAAATTTCCAAATATCGTCACGTAATACTATTTGATATAACACATATAGTCCTTTGCTTTGCTCCAAACAATAAAATCTGTATCACAATAATTCGTTAAATCAAAATTTGTTATAATGCAAGCTGACTGTATTAGAAACGTAATAATTATTATATATATAGTGGTAGTTTTATTCTTCTCATTTGTCATCCAGAAAATCTGGTGAATTACAGATACAAATATATACTGTATAATAACACACTTTATTAAGCATTTATTTATTATTATTAAAAGTATTAATAGTTTTAACTTATTATTTACGATCGAATCGTATGTATATAAATTTTTAAACCGTTGAGATCCCCCTATTCCCTCTGTCATCAATTTACAGAGTTGCCACATCGAACGGGTATTCTCATGGTCGAACGAATGAATAAACAAACGAACGAACAATTAAACGAATAAACAAGTTAATAAACAACAACATAAAACAACATTCTTGGTTCACGAAATAAATAGCGTTAGTAATATAAAACATCAAGCGACATAAAATTAAATTTAACTTCTCTAAACTTTCCCCAATTTTTATCCACTTTACCTTTAATTTCAAACTTCGATAGCTCTCGCTACGAAGTATTACTTTCCAAAGGTGTATATTTAATTCATCTTAAAATTTTCATTTTATTCAATTAAAATTAATTAAGCAAACATTAATTAAAGTTTAGAGCGAACCTATTACATTTAATTAAAATTAAACTTAACTAACAAATAATTAAATGAAACTTATATTTTTATTGAGTTCTGTGGATGAGAACTGTGGAATTACCTTGAATTCCGCTCTCTATTTATACAAATTTTATAATTCTTTCTATTCTAATATATGCTATCTATATACTATCTTTTATGTTCTTTTTATATATTATCTTTGAACTATCTTTCTAATATGCTATCTATATTTTAAATACACTATCTTTTAATATGCTATTTTTAATATGCATGTATCTTCTATTTTAACATGTTATCTTTTTATATATGTTCTTTTTTAATATGTTATCTTTTATATTCCGTCTTTATACTATCTTTTTATATTATTTTATGTTCTTTAATCTTTCTGACATTATTTTATATGTTCTTTTAATTCACTATCTTACCACTTTATGTGTTTTGCTTATAATCAATCTTTTGTGGCTTATAATTATCCCTTCTAATTGTTCCTATTGTTAAAGATTGCTAAGCCGCAATTGATCAACTCTAATTATTCTATTGGTTCTTTGTTAATCATTCAATAAATATTACATCATGTAGATCATTACTTTTCCTAAATGTTTATCCTTTTTGGCTAATTATTTATCCATCTACGCCAATTCATAATTAATTTGTTCGTTCCTAATATTTGGCAATTACATTTGGTGATTGAATTTTATCATCTTTTCATGCTTGATATTTGACCGTTTACACCGTTAGTTACATTTTAAAATCCTATTTAATAAATAAAAAACATTGCTATAATTTATTAAAAAGAATACTGTGAGATACATCAAACTTACGGCTATTTTATAAACTCTTTAATAGTAAATAAAATTTATAACATGTGTTTTGTGAATAGTAAATATGACGATTTATTTATTATATTATATTATATTATTATTTATAGAACTAAAAAATGGAAAATAAAAAATATACATATTTTATTATAATAATAATGAAAGATATTTATTTCCTTAGACTACTTTTTCCTTTCCTTTATCACTACTACTACTAGCTTTATTCCCTTTTTCTCTTCCCATTCCCATTCCTCTTCCTGTTCCCATTTCTCATCCTTTTTCCCTTTCTCGTCCTCTTCCCCTTCCTAGTCCCTATCCCCTTTCACTTTCACTATTATTATTACTACTACTGCTGCTGCTATTACTGTTGCTACTATTACTGTCATCATCAATAATTTTCTTCTCCTCCTTTTGCTGCTTTTGGATATCCTTATACTCCTGATGGGTATAATAGATTCCTTTTTTGATTATTGTAAACTACTGTTTCGCACTTTCTTTACTTGGTAGTCGTTCAAATAAATTAGGTGTGAGAACGGTTATCAAATCAAAAATCGCAAAACTTTTATTGCTTGTATTCCACAACCTATTTATTCTTTCGGCTGAAGTTTTGTAACTTCTCTATTGTTTTTACGTTAGTTTTTCTTCAGCTTTTTTTAGAAACTTTTCTAATTCAGTTTTTTCTTCTGTTTCTTTCTTCTCCCCTCAAGTTTTTTCTTAGCTTTTAATGCATTTATTTCGCCAAATTTTTTTGGCTCTGAAGCGACTGTTTCTAATATCATCTTATATAATTCATAAAAATATGCGTATTTTCTTGCATTTCGCTGTCTTGTTAATTCAGTTATCTCATTTTCTGATTTGATTTCATCTAAAACTACAAGCATGTCTTCTATTAACGAAGACATATTGCTACCATCTATTTTGTCAGAAATGGAATTAATTCTTAAATTAAAATTATTATCATCATCAATATTTCTCACAAAAGGAATAGCTCCATTTATTTTGGAACCATCAAATTCCATTCCTTTATTTAAATAATTGTTAAAGTATTCTTAGAGGTTTTGTATATATTTTTTATTGTTATAATTAGGCTGCATCATTGGGGGATTATAAGGTAAATGATCTTGGACTGTCTTTAAATGATATATTAACTATGCAACGACTAATATATCTTTCTTAAGATTTTCACCAGTTATCTTTTCTTTATATAAAAGTTTGATCCCTATTGTTGTATTATTGTTGCTATTGTCTGAATCAGCAAGTAATCGCTGAAATATATAGGGATTGTCTTCAAATCTCTTCTGTTTCATTTCTATAAAATTTTTCTCAGATATGAAAATGTCAGTTTTATGTTAAGAGATTTTAACAGAAGAACGGCAGCTAATTTTTGCTTATCTATATCTAAAATAAGTTATTTACAATTTTCTGCCATTTATACTTTTTAAAACAACTAATCCGTTTTTCAAAGCATTAGCGGGAATCATTTCTAAGAACTGTTGGACTTCGTAATGATCTTCTAAAAGAATTTCGATTGTGTCTGATAAATAAAAAAAAATTAATAATAAATTTATATAATATGAGATAGTTCTCAACTTTTAAAATGATAATATATATAATAGTATATACTTTTTACCTTTTTCTTTCGGGTTGTCTGCTGGAGTTAATTTGACCTTTTTTTCTTCTTTGCTTTTGGTGGACTCTTTGTCCTTTCTTTTCCTTAACAATATAATTTCAAACAGACTTGCCATCGTAGTTTGTAGTATATCAGTCAGACCTGCTGTTATCGTAATTTGTTTATCTGATAGATCTGCTATCATAATTTGTAGTACATCAGACAGACCTGCCATTCACTGGTCAAAATTAATACTATCGGGTACCTATCGGGTACCTGATATGTGTACAATATATGTGATATATGTGTATGATATTTAACAATGCTACACATATCAGGTACCCGATATGTGTAGTAGAAATGTAGAAAAACGGTGACACATCATGTACATATCACATATATGTTGTGCCTCAGATTGATTCTTGCCTCAGATTAAAACTACCAATAGGATGTGACGAATTATGTATATACACGTGATGATCTACATAGTAAAATTACCATATATGTAATACACGTGATCTGGTGTTGATCTCACGCAGCGTGAGTTTTAATCTGAGGCAAGAATCAATCTGAGGCACAACATATACATCTTACACATATCGGGTAGTTAAATATCGGTCACATATCATAGACTTATTGGGTACCCGATATATTATGATATATATCATATAGATATCATACAGATATCATACAGATATCAGACAGATAGATAT